AAAAGAGGACGCAGATCACAATCAAGCTACAGGAAGCTGTGAGAAAGTGAAAGATGTTGGAAGCAACATCAGAGATGATGAGAAAGGGAGTGACATCTTCAATTCAAATAGCCGAGGCACCAGTAACGCTTTAAACTGCTTCTATGCACGATTCAAGTCTAAAAGGAGGAAGACACTCTGATGAAGTTCCTTAATTTTAGTGTTAAATTTGTTTTTATTTATTAATGTAAATGTAGCTTAAATTAAGTCATTTGTCAAATAAAGCTTAGGCAGACAACTTAGTAAAATATTATAAGTATTTTATGACTAGTGTTACAGGTCCTCTAGCAACAAAATCCTGTTGATTTAAAGTGCCTTATTTTTACATATGTTATTTCACTAATGTTAGTAAATGTTATACTCTGATTTCTGTGGTTGGCTTTATTTCCTATCGGTAGCTGCTGGGTCTGTGAGTGAAATAAATTGAGGAGGCTTTTTAGGAACAGGTATTTGCTTTCACATTAAAACCTCCAATAATGATCTGATCAGAAACTTCAGAGAATTTTGGTGCTGTCTTATTACTGCATCTACTTTACAGGCTAAAGGAAGAAGTGTTGGGAAGCAATAAACTGCATCTTGTTCACATGTACTTTTTTTAATCATCCACTTTTCATATACCTCTGATCAGAAAAGGAGGAGATAGTCTAACCTAGCAGGTTCAAAATCATCTGAGAAACTTGTTTAAAAAATACAGTTACTGTGTCCCACCGTAGACCTCGTAAATTTGAATTTCCAGAAGTGGGCCTAAGAATGTGTATTTTAATAAGCTTTCCAGGGGATTGTTAGAATTGATTGTATTTTCGAAATACTGATCTAACAGGCATAAGGATGAAATTATTTTAAAACAGTAAAGCAGATCCATAACCCTAAGATAAAAGAGCAATGATCTTTTTCTTTTGGGAATTTTTTAATTTAAATTGTTTTTATTTACCACATCTATTTTCTTGGTCTTCGTGAAATTGACCAATTAATTCCTGAAGGGCGCTGAGAAAGAGTAGTGATCCCAAGATCAGAGAACTGAGGTAGGAGCTAAGACACTATCTTGTCTTATCTTTAGCCCCATAAGCCAGCTAGAAGTCACACATTTTCTGGGTCTTAATTTTTCTGTTTGAAATTAAACTATTTAAGGAGATTACTGTTCAATAAATATTTCCTTTCATGACTTCAGTTACATGTGAGTATGAAACCTATTCTTGAGATTTTTAGGATTGAACCAAAGGTTATGTACTTACTGAACCCCATTCTCTCAGGGAGCAAGAAGATAGTTGTTTCTTTGAGGCCTGCCCCCTGGTGGGATTACTGTGGCATTTTCTTTTATTTCTAGGCAAAAGAAGTTTGGTTACTTTTCTAATAATTATCAAAACTGTCTCATTACATTTAACTACCTCATGCTGCAGATTTGTTTTTGGATCCTTCCACATTACTCCATCTCCACCCCTTTATTTGAAAGAAAAAGAAAATCTCTCTAGCTATATCTGCTGTGCAGTAAGACTTAGAACAGTTTAAAACAGGTAGATGCTGTTTTTTTCATAACATATTTGTTTGTCAGTTCGGCTATTTAATATTCTGCAAATTGGTGAAGAAAAAGGAAACTAGATATAAGATTAAATCCAGATCTAAGACTGTTTACTTAAAAATACTAAAACAATGACTTTCAACCTGGGGCAAGACTTCTTAGGTGACATAAGCAGACTCTCTGGGGTAAGTACATGTAGTTTGAAAAAGCGAAAGTATAATTTTTCCCCTTGAGTCCTGACTCCCCTCTTCCACCCCCACCTCAAGGTAGTATTTTGGACATGAAATATGTATGTTAATCAAAGGGGAGGGGATATAGGCATAAAAAGAAGCTGAGAAACTCAGATGTCTACTTTTTAATGTTTTATAATATACTTAATGCCTTCTTGTTTATTAAATGTTTGTAACTGTGAGAACCTGGGGCCGATAGACCTTTGGACTAGTTTCTCGGTGATACTGGTCTTTGACTTCTCTATTTCTTGAATTTGGAGTTGAATTGGTATGGGTAGATAAGCGAATGGAAGTGTAAGGGACTGCCCTCTACCTGCCCACAAACCCCCACCTGTTTCTTTGTTTTATAGTTTGATCACTTGTCTTCTCTCATTCAGGTTATACACTTATGCCATCAGCTAAATCTGACAACTTATCTGACTCCAGCCATAGTGAGATTTCTTCACGGTCCAGCATTGTGAGCAATTGTTCTGTTGACTCCATGTCTGCGGCTCTGCAGGATGAACGGTGTTCTTCCCAGGCTGTCGCGGTCCCTGAATCCACTGGGACAGTGGAAAAGACAGAGCACTCTTCGGGGACAGGAGACCATAGTCATCTTGGCCCTGGGTAAACATCCTTGCCTATGTTCCTATCACAAAACCTAAGCCAAGTGGCCACTGCAAGCAGTGCTCCGCACCTTGACCCTAGACCCCTTTTGGGGTAGTTGCAAGGGAATCATTAGAAGAATATGCAGGCCAAGCATATATTCTCTATACTGAATATGCAAATTGGGACTATTTTGAAAGATGTATGAATGCTCATTTTTAAAGTATTACTGAATTTAAGTAACTTTCTATCACACATATCTTTTCGATTAGTAAGAACTCAAAGTGAAGCTGTCATTGGTGTGAGAGAGGAGGCTATTGCATTCTTTCTGTTAGGATAGAGATTGTTTAAAAAGATTGTAAAATTGGAAGTACCTCCAGTGCTGTACACGTTGCAGCCAAGTTGGGAGAGTAAGACCAGTCCTTGATCCTTGATCCTTGTTCTCTGAAAGTATGATTTAGAATTACCAGCTAGCAAAAGTCAGTTAACAAATGTTAACTCTTAAGTTTCTGTTTAGAATCGAGCAAAATGGAAATCTTTGAGGACGCGTTAAGAAAGTTGATTCTAAACTGATATCGTTAAATCTTGTATACTTTAATATGAAAAATATAAGATATAGTAAAATATTTATCATATTTGTAAAAGCTTCTAAATTATGATTCTCTAGACCATGGGTCAGCAAACTTTTTCTATGAAACTTAAATAGTAAATATTTTAGGTTTGCAGGCTATAAGGTCTCTATTGCAACTAGTTGCTCAACCTTGTTTCTCCAAAACACCCTTAGACAATATGTAAACAAATAGGCATGTTATGTCCCAATAAAACTTTATTTACAAAAACTGGCAGGGGTTTGGATTCGGGCATGGGCTTTAGTTTGCTGACCCCTGGTCTAGATAATCATAGTTTAGAAGCATTTTACACAAGGTATCAAGGGTTCTCGAACTTTTTTTTTTGTAAAGGTCAGATAGTAAATTTTAGGCTTTGCTGGTTATATATGGATTCTTCGGAGTTTTTTGATTTGTTTAAACCCTTTACAATGTAAAAACCATGCTCCAGACCATACAAAATGAGGCTGTTGGCTGGAATTGGCCCATGAGCCTTAGTTTGGGGACTCCTGCTTTGAGTGATGGAATATTCACTTAGTCGTAGGTAGGTAGTCGCTGCATACTCGGCACTGTACTAGGTGCACTGAGAAGTAGGCTGACCTCAGACGTTCACTCTTGGAGTTGGGAATTTTCAAGTCTACGTGCATAGAGAGGAACTTGCTTTATGTTGGCCAAGAGTGAAAATGTATACTTAATTTTATTCATTTTAGACCTCATCTTTCATTTTCATTTAAAGTCAATTTAAAAAAAAATTCTCAGGAAATCTTGCTAATTATTCATGTTAACATTGATTAATATTGATTAGTATTGATAAGTATTAACATTGATGCCAGTAGAAGTTTAGTGATGATTGATTATAGTGCCATTTTTTTCCACAAGGTTATTTTGGTGTGAATACTTGTTGCAGCATTATAGTCTCTTGTATGCAGTAGTACTTGCAAAAAAGTACTTGCAAAAAAGTACTTGCAAGAAGTTTTTCCGGTAAGCCAGTAAATTACTTTTAATCATGTATCTTCAATTGTAGGTGGGTACCATCAAAGCCATCTCTAATCAAGAATTTAGCTGTCTCATCTTCTGTGAGCAATGAAGAGATCTCTCATGAGCATGTCATTATAGAAGCAGCCGATAGTGGTCGTGGAAGTTGGACTTCCTGTTCAAGCAGCTCCCATGACAACTTCCAAAGCCTTCCAAACCCAAAAGGATGGGATTTTTTGAACTCTTACCGACATACCCATTTGGATGGCCCCATTGCTGAAGTTGAACCAGCTGACTGCGAGCCCTACCCCTGTCCTCAAGGCTGCTCTAGAACCTGTGGTCAGTGTGAAGGAAGCCCAGAGACTAACTTGATGAGACAGAGTCGGATCTCTTCCGGTTCTCTTTCTGACACGCACGAACCAAACTATGGGACGGTTAAGCGGAGGGTATTGGAGAGTGCCCCAGCTGAGTCATCTGAGGGCTTAGACCCTAAGGATGGCTCTGACCCAGTTTATAAGACTGTTACTTCGAGTACAGAAAAGGGCTTAATTGGTAAGTTCTGTCTTTTTTGTTGTATCTGTGGCATTTAGAGATTAAGTGGTAAAAAATGGCATTGGGACATCTTGGTCTAGAATTTTATTCTTGAAAAAAATTTCTTCTCTCCAACCCCTCTTTCTTCCCTCTGCAAACACATTATTTTCAGAAAATTCATGATTTCTCAAAGGCTTTGGAACAGATATTCAAGCCTATTAAAATGAAAAGGCTGGTATGGGGTATTTAATTAAGGGGATAGGTTTGTTTGTCTTTTTTTGTTTTTTGAGATCTATTTTGTTTTCATTGAGGAAATATTGAATTACTATGCAATAGTGATAAAAAGATTATCCTCTTTGTCACCACACATGGTAGAAACTTTGAATACGATATTACTTTTAGATACTACATGTGAGAAGAAATGTGATAAGTCCAAAACATATTTTAATATACCCTCCTAGCGCATATCATGGGTACACCAACTCCTGTTTGTGGATTCCATTCTAACCACAGATGACTTTTTTGTTGTATTCTTTTAGTATTTAAGCCATCATATACATTTTTCATTTCTTCCTTGAATTATATAAATACTTGGATTTAATAGCCCCTGCTTAGAATTTTATTTGTGGAATGACTGTACTTTAAATCAATATTATCTTAGTCAGCTCTTAATTCTATAGCATATTCACGTCAATTGAAATTACTAAAAAATAGGAAAGACTAGTGCGCTGAGTTTTATAGCACATTTATATAGCATATTTGTATTTACTTGTCAGATTGCATAATAGAGCAGATTTTTAGCTAATTCGTTTTTTTCAAGGATTTTTTGTTAAAGATAACTACTATGGATATATAAGTGTGTGTGTGCAAGGATATAAAATTGGTCTCTTGTCTGGGAAATACATTTTTAAAAATGTTATTTCTTTCATTTCTAGATCACTATGCAAATCACTTAAATTCTTCATTTTTGGCTGACTTCCCTTAAAAGCCTCTCCATCCCCTTCTTGTCCCATCCTCCACAGATGGGAATGGAAATCCTTTCTGACCTTGATACTACATGCAAATATTACTGGTAGAGTTCTAGAAATTTCAGTATGGGCAGGCTTGATCCTCTAAAGGGAGAATTAATATTAGAATTATTTAATGATCCTTTTTTAATTAATTCTGCTTGTATATATGTAATGTTTGTGTTTAAAAAGTTACTTTACGGTCAAGATATTCAGAGCCATTTGTCCTGTAAATTAGTCTTAATTTCATGGAACTACTTCTTTAACCTACTTCTAATGCTTTGGGGAGCTTTGCCTTAGTATCAGGGTTTATAGACTGAGGAAGAAAAATTTTAAGGTAGCGTTATTTCCAATGTCCCCTGAAAATAAGAGAAACTTAATTTGAGATGAATTTCTTAAAATTATGTTTTTTTCTTCTTCACGTAATTACTGAGAAGTTAGAAGTAAGGTCTTTGAAGAAATTAGTTCCTCTGTACCAGAAAAGTTAAAGTCATTTATATGCCAGAAATGACAGCCAAGTCTACCCAGGAGTGTCATAAAACAGTGCTTCATGTCTCAGGTAAAACAACCTTTACAGGGCCCAGAAGTCATTTCTAAGAAAATCCAGTTGACAGAGGATAGATATTTAGGGTGGATTCTAAATGTTCCTGACTCGGTCACCTGTGGGGCTGGTATTCCGTGAGGGGTTTGCCACACAATTCTGTGGCGTGAGGGCTACACTGCAGAAGGAAGCTTGTCATCAGCGTCATCTCCTTCAACTCTATCTCATTCTCTTTAATGTTTATAAGACAATGTAACATATGTATTATAAAACCAGTATATTAAGATTTTTTAATGTTATAAATCTGTCAGTGTATTCAAATATATTCATTTTGTCTGTTTTTAAGTTCTATTTTGTCATTATAAGTTGCAGTATGGTTTTTTTTCATTTCTTATGTTTTTCATTAACATTTCCATTGCTTATTTTTCATGCCAGTGTACTGTGTCACCTCACCCAAGAAGGAGGATAGGTATAGGGAGCCACCTCCTACTCCTCCAGGATACATGGGGATTTCTTTAGCAGACCTAAAGGAAGGAACTCACCTACACCTAAAACCTCCAGATTATAGTGTGGCAGTGCAGAGGTCAAAGATGATGCATAGCAGCCTCTCTAGACTGCCTCCAGCTTCTCTCAGTAGCAGTCCCGTGGTCTGTGTTCCATCGAAGATTATAACTCAGCCTCAGAGGCATAATTTGCAGCCATCTCATCCCAAACTAGCAGACGTGACTGATGCAGATAGCGAAGCAGATGGTATGTTGACAAACTACTTTAATGGCTCTTAAATGAATTGCTGAACATAAATGGTCTTTACCGTGATATTTTATATAATCAGTAATGTTTTCTTCAAATGCCTCAGAAATCTCTTTTAAAAAAAATCTCTTACTGTGATGGTGTGTTTTTTAAATGGAGAGGGCAAACTGCTTGTTTCTGTGTGCCTAGTCCCCTTTTTCTGGCTCAAACAGAGTATTCTTATATTTGATTGATAGCAGCTCAGTCTAACGGGATAATTTTGAGAGGAGACGTGTGACTGTAGTGGAGTCATGTTTTACATTAATGCACGGAACCTTGAAACTGCAAGTATCAAAATGCAAAATTATCCGAAATCATGCTGGTCCTCTTATTAGCACAAACCTTCACTGACTTTGCAGCTGTGGTTTGTTTAATTAAAAGTAAATGGAGTTTTATCCTTTTAAACAATAGAGTAATAAAGTAATTAAAAAGACGTTATAAAATTTCAGTTTATTGTCAGCTTTCAGTGTGATCAGAACTCATAAATGTCATTACAAGAAAATCTGGACCTTGATGATCCCTTGATGATTTGAGAGGATTTCTTTTGTTGAAATTGACTAATTTTGTAAACAGATAACTAGATTGCTAGTTTTCATTGATATGCCAATCTGCCACTTAATTGTATTTTTTTTTTATTTTCAGAAAATGAACAGGTTTCAGCAGTCTAGCCCTTGGATGACACATTTGACATCTACTGAAAGTCATGGAGGAAGGAGTGGGCAGAACCCCCTCATGATTCTGCAGGCCGTTGCCAGCCAACAGCTCGCTGCTGCTGCTGCTAACCCAGAGGTTTCATTCTCTGTGCTCCAAGCAGTGAGATAGCCCTGAATCATGCTCCCTTCCATTAATCCCTGCAGTTTCCTCAGCTGTGGATGTTGTGCCTGGATACCACTCTTCCTTTTGCATACCAGACCTGCCTCGGGGCTACAGTTACTGGAACAGAGTCAAACTCAGAGTCTTCCCCATGTATATCACTATAGATTTTTCTTTAACAAGTTATTTTTAAGATAGTGGTAGCAGTATTTCTAAGCCATAGCTTGGGCTAATGGACAAGTTCAAAATGTCTGCCAATACCAAGGATATTCTTGTATATTTGAAAAGTAACTTATTATTTGAAGTTTCGTGGTTTCGCTTTTATTTGGGAGCTCTTGTGTAGCTGATGGTTATGTTTGAGGCCATGAAACTGTCTCTGCTCAGACCAAACGGAGGTCATCTTTACGGGATGATAAACTTCACCTGTACAGAAATGTAACCATCTGTAGCACCAGTGCTATGCAGGCTGGTCTGAGTGGAATGGGAAGCCCTTTGCGGTTGCGGTGTCCGGAAGGAAAATACTCCCATCTGCTGGTCCCAATTAGGAAGGCCAATGAAGCTACCACAGGGTTTCTTATCAGTCCTTTGGGAAAGGGTTGAGGCTAAGGTGGGCTGGGTAGCAACCCTAAGTTCCAAAGAATGAAATTTTTATGTTAAATAACATGTATACCAGTTTTTTCTGAAGTGAAAAATCATGCTGCATCTAATTGTAACTAAAAGTAGAAATCCAGTAACTAGATAATGGGTTCTAGAGAGTTCTGCCCTCTAGAAATCCAAAACTAAAATTTTTCTCAACTCAAATATGGAGTTTTGTTTTTAAAGGAAGTGCAATCATTGGTGGAGTAATCATGAGGATGAACATAGCTTTATGCAGTGTCCCCCCCTCCCCAGCATGGAACTGATCATGATGAACCCTGCAGCTCACAGCTGCCTGCCAGAAAGCTTGTTAGCTCAGCAAAGTATATAATTAGTTGAAAATTTTGTAGACAAAAGAGGAGCTGGAATTATGGAATTATATTATCTCTCGGTTCTCAGTTTAGCCTTTCAGAGGAAGGAGACATATTTTGTAACAGCCTGTTGGGCATGGCACTCTTAAGTATTTAATGAAAATTTCAGTGACTGTTTAGTGGACAAGCTAGACTTTCCACATTTTTACAAATCAAATATAATGTTTTCTATATCTTAAGTTTCAATTTTTTAAATTTGTTTTTAGTGTAAAGGCAAGTGAGAGCTTAATAGATTTCTGTGACTACCAAAAAAAAAAAAAAAAAAAAGCCAGAGCCATTAAGTGCACTGCCCAGGCCAACTCGGAGCCGGTGGGTTTACTCCTGAGTAGTTAGCTGTCTGTGTTTCAGTTTATGGGACTCCGCTGGTTCATGACTTCCGTTTCAAGAGTTTGTTCTCATTTTTTCCTAGCTATGTCGTCCCTCTCACTGTCTTCCTGCCTGTTCCCTTCATTTTAAAATCATAAATCAGTTCCAAGTGGTAAATGGCAATAGTCCATCTTTTCCATGAAAGTGATTGTCTCTTTATTTTAGGAAAAATAGCATGTCTGAAAAAATTCCCTCAGCAAAAATTTGTTAATCAGAAACTTAAGCCTTAGAAATGAACCGCTGTATGTTAGAGTGAAGCTAGTTGGCTCTATAGCTTTCTTGGTCCATTGAAATGGAAAGTAGCCCAGATCAAAAATCGTTGTTTGAAAGTTACACTGTAGTGATTCGATCTATAAACAGCAGTCCTCTGATCACAGATTTTTTTCCTTCACTGATTTACACAATATTGTTTTCATGTCCAAAGCAAAATAAAGTGAAATATATTTTTGCTATAACCATCCTTTTATCAAGTATGGATATTCTCATCATTTTATATTCCTTACCCCAGAAAAGTGTGCTGTTTGCAGAGTCCGTTTATTTAGCAGGTCTTTCAAACCAAATGGGAGTCTTACCCATCTTTGTCCTTTGTGTTGATAATATCTTGGGTAATATCTTGCACAGAGAGTTGGAGGCTTGTGGTTTTGGATGTGCACCGTGTAGCTGCCTTTGTTTCATCTAGCTTGAACTGTGAGTATTTGGATCAGCTGATCACATTGATCAGGAACTAAAGCCAAATGCCTTGTGGTTTGATATATATGTATCCCTAAAAAAATCATGGAGTTTTAATTTTTATACTTTGGGGTACATTCCTGCCTTCTCTGTCACATGACTAGAACAAGAGAAGCCTTAACCTGTATTCGATCCAAGTCTTTCCCCCCAATTCTAACTCCCTTTGTTTTTGTTTTTATTTTATAAATGTATAACTTTAATAACGAGACTAGCACCCTCATCCCACCACAACACTGAATCTGCCAGGACTATCGAAGCAGTAAATCCTCCGTGCAAACTTTTGCCAAATAAGTTTCAACAAAACAAGGTCTTCATAATGAAAGATTTGCAAAATTAGTAAATCCAGTATATACTTCAATAAAAGTTTATTGTAATTAATAAATTCTTACTTCGTACAAATGATTACTTTCAATATGACCTTTGAGGAGAAAAAACCTTAAATGGTTTTTCATGAGGGTGATAAATCACATTTTTGCCGTCTGCACAACCTCCTTGAGAATCTCTCCAGGCTGGAAATGTGGCAGTAATCATGGAGATTACCAGAAACCTAATTTTTATAAAGTATTCTCTCCCCTACGAAAACAAGAGGAGAACAAGTTTCCTTATATATTTAAAATACTGATTGTTATTCTGATATATTTTAAGTTTCTAAAAAATGTGATGCTAAAGTAGATGTAACCCTTTAGAATTACCTTAAAAGCTAGAACAAAGGGAGAAATCTTCAGAGTGTCACAGGACATTTTCAAATTTAAACTTGAACCCCAGTTCATCTTTAGCTTTTGTTGTGCTTTTTTAAGGCTTTTTTATTTTTGATACACAGAATGCAGTTGTACTTGATCTTTTAAAATTGAAACGTGAGCTTATCAACAAAAGATAAAAACAAGACTGCACAGTCATAATAATCAAAAAGGAATTATACTGCACAATTCAGTGATTGTAAAGTATCCTGTAACAAGCAATTTTGTCTCCTATTTTTTGATACCTCTTAAACTTATGTCTTTTAGAAAGACAGTGCCTCTGTATGCTTTTTGTATTTTTACTGAGTGTAAATATTTGTTATATTTTTGGTTAAGAGAATGTAAAAGTACCATTTATTATTATCATATCTACTAATACATTGGTGAAATCAATAAAGAATCTACATTAACCTTCTCTGCACTTTATTGCAAATGAATGGCAACGATAAAATAATTACACCCAGTCACTCAAGAGGGCCAGTCTGGGACCCATGTTGGTGAGAAGGCCTTATTTTTTAAGTCTCCAGAGAAATCGGAACAGCCCAATTATAGTTGACCTTATAGTATGTGTAAAACACCTAGAGGTTGTTTAGTTTTTGAAAAGAGTGTTTGATTACAAACCCAATAACAGCGGCTTAAACCCCACTGGGGCTTGGTCTAAGTCTCAGGCATACTGCCCAGGGGTGACTGATACAGTGACTCCACAGTGTTGTCAATGTCAGTGCCTCAGGGATCTGACATTTACACCTTGGGGCATCACCTGAAGATAACACAGACATGGAGTCGAAGATAATGTGGAGACAGCAGAGAGAGGCAGCCCACCCGGAACTAGAAGAGACGAGAGATTCTTTCTTAGAGTCTCCAGAGGAAGTGCTACCTTGCCCACACCTAGATTCGGCTTCTGGCCTCTTCTGTTAAGTCACCCAATGTTTGGCCATTTGTTAGAGCAGCTCTAGGAAACTAATACATGTTACTACATTTGTCTGCCGTTGAAGACCCAGAACCTGCCATTGAAGGATGTGGTGGTCCATAGGTATACCCCAGGAACCCCAACTCTCACTACTTTCAAGAAACCTTTGAAAAGCAAAGGTAAGAGGAAGACTGGCCACCCTAGAGGCCGCCTCTACAGCAGTCTCATCAGCCTGTTTTTCCAAGTATGCACAGAAGAAACCATTCCTATCACCCTTGCCAAACTCGATGTTTTTAATTTTTCTCATTTCTATCACCCTTGCCAAACTTGATGTTTTTAATTTTTCTCATTTCAGATATTCTAGTGAGCATGTATCTTCCTGTGGTTTTCATTTTAATTTCCATAATGGCTAATAATGCTACGCATCTTTTCATACTTGTTGGCCATTTTGTGGTGTCTTTTTAAGTCTTTTTTTTATTTGTAGTTGGAACATTGAAATACAGTTGTTTTATAATGACCTTTTATTTATCAACCCTGCTCAATGCGTTTATTTTCAGTTTGTAGGTTCTTTTGGACTTTTCTATATACTCTCATCATCTGCTCATAATGACTTTTACTTATTTCTAGTCATTTTGCATTTCATTTCTAGTCATGTTGCACAGATCAAAGTGCCAGCCAGTCCTTTCTTCATTCCTGATCTCGGAGAAAGCTTTCAGATTTCACCATTGAGTGTGATGATTTCTATATGGTTTTTGTAGGTATTCTTTATAAGTTTAAAGACGTTCCTTTTTATTTATAGTTTACTAAATGGATTTATGGTGTTGAATTTTGTCAAATGCTTATCTCGAATCTGTTGTGGTGATAGAATTGTTTTTTGTTTTTTTTTTTTATGTTAGTGTGGTGAATTAATTGATATATTTCCTAGTGTTACTCCCCCACTCACCCACCCCTGCACTCCGATTTCACCTTCCACTTTGCTAGAATAAACCCCACTTGGTCATGACATGCTATTTTCATATACTTCTAGATTTAGTTTGCAATATTTTGTTTAGGATTTCAACACCCACGTTCAAGAGAGAGATGGGCTGTAATTTCCCTTCCTTGTACTTGTTAGGTTTTGGGATTAATGTTAAACTGGACTCATGTTCTCTGGAAGTTTATGAAAGACTGAACTCTAGCCACTTTCACCTCCCTGGACTCCCATATTTGTCTCTTCAGTTCTGGACCACTGCTGTGCTCTTCTCTCCCCTTCATTATGGCCTGGAAATTTTCTTCAGGCAGTAAGCTGGAGCAGTGGTAGGGCTCACCTTTTTTATTTCTTGTGCTCTCAAGGATTACCGACTATCAGCGCTGGATGTCCAGTGTCTTAAGTGACATTGTTTTACATATTTTGTCTAATTTTTTAGTTAGTTCAGGCAGGAGATTTGGAATTGATGATGGGGAAGCGTTAGCCAGGCTTCCCACTATGTGGAGCGTGATGGCTGACAATCATGGGCAGAAGACTCTCTTTTGGAAGAAACAATGTGGGCTAAATAGGAGGAGTTTGGTAAAGTTACACCGGAGCCACCAGGTGGCGCCATGCTACAGTGTAACTTCTTGGAGTCTTTGTCTTTAAAAAGATGAGAGCAAAGTCATTTTTAGCCATCTTTCCAGATAGGTCTCCAGCCCATAGTGAAATATTTCAGGACACTCCTCCTTCACTGAGGTAATGAAACTGAAGCATTTCCAACCAGAAAATATAGAATTTTAGATTCTATATGGATAATATTTGGACATTAACGAATAGTCAGCATGGATACAGCTATTTCCCTAAGACACTGTTTGTACATTGGGACATTAAGAGTTGGAGTACTTAATGAGTGTTGGTCTTTTCCAGGGCTCCTAAGGGAAATCTTCCAGAAATTACAGATTGCCCAATTCTGAACAGCAGTGAAAAGCAGGTCATATATATAAGAACCAGTGAAACTTCTGATAGTCTGCACTGAACAACAATATACCAAAGACTCCTGGCAGCTGCTCATCTGTTCTGACTACTGGTGTTTTGGGTCTTTTTAACATTGGCCGTTTGTTGGGTATGCGATGATTTTTTACTGTGGTCTCATTTCCCTGAATATTAGTGGTACTGAGCTCCTTTTCAACTAGAGAAATTATTATTTTCTCTTACGGTTGGTGCTTTTTCGTGAT